ACACTATGTGCACCACAACCCTAAGATGTGTATCTCCCCATCCCCAAAACCCTAGTTACTGAAAAGTAAAACCAGAATTCCCCATTCAAATAAAAGGCTGGGTAACCCTTCTTTTCTAGAAACAGCCCAATTATTTTAAAACGATGAAGTATCAGACAGACTATTACTCTCTTTATAATATCAAAAGAAATTTTCAAGAAATATTCAGCTATCTTTTAAATATCCAGATATCATTGAAAAAGCTAATAAAACATCAGACTTCAAAAAAAAAAAAAAGACATCTGCACCCAAATGTTTATGGCAGCACATTTCACTATTGCAAGGACATGGAAACAACCCAAGTGCCCATCAATTCATGAGTGGATTCTTAAAATTTGGTATATGTACACAATGGAATATTACTCAACTCTAAGAAATGACAGTGAGCTAGCACCACTTATATTATCCTGGATTAAGCATAAGCCTGTTATCCAAAGTGAGGTGACACAAGATCAGAAAAATGGGTTCCACATGTACTCGCCATCAAATTGGTACTGACTGACTAACACTATGGTGCTCAAAGAGTGGTGGTGTTCACCAGGGATTCAGGGGTTGGGGAGGTAGACCCACATCTGAAGAATGTGGTAAGCAATGTGGAGGGGAAGGGCATAACTCTAACCCTTGCTAGGGGGATGCAAAGATATAAAATGTAACCAAAATGTTCACATTTTCATATTTTCTTGGAAAAATAAAAGAAATGGCAACTTTTGTAGAGGTAGATATGCACCAAGTTTGATGAATTTATTGACCCATTTTATCACCCATTGTGAAAAGAGACTCTCAGGATATGCAGGCTGGTATGTCTGATTGCCTTGATCTCATAACTCAAAGTGATGGGAACAAATACTTAAATAAAAAGCATGTACATTCACCAGTAACAATGAATTTTAAGCATTTTGCACCTCAAGTTCAGATTTAAGAGAGGAAAATAAATCTCCAACATTTCAGAGACATACTTCTGTAATAAGCCTAATAGGTGTTACTGAATATCAGTTAATGGTGACCTCACACTTTCTCCCAAGAGCAATGAGGCTATTGGTTTTATATTTGTGTGACTGAGGGACCCCAATTAGTAATTTCCCCCAAACAAAAAGAAATCTGCCAAAGGTACTTTGAATCTCTACCTCTAGACATGTAAAACTGTAGCTACTTTGAAATATAGTCTAGCTTTGTAAAGATTAAGATTCAGTATTCACCAGGCACCCAATTCCAATGCAATTAGATACACAAGTTATTGACAGCAAATTCCCTAATGTAATCTCTGAAGAGAAACTGAAGGCTTTCAAGGGAAGCTAGTGTCAAAGCATCTGGAAACAATCATTGCAGTAGTGCCTTTGAAAGGTGAAAATGCCTTCCAGAAAAACAAATGGAATATACAGTTTAAATACTTATTCAAACAAAATATCATAGTTTACCCTTGCAGTTTCTTCTGTTTGGAATTTTTTTCCCCATGAAATCTTCATGGTTCACTCTCACTTGTACCAGGTCGTTGTTCCAATGACTGCTCAATGAGACCTTCTCTAGATATCCTATTGGAGATGGAATGCTGCTTCTCTCCACACTTCTTCCCTCTGCCTTACTTTATTTTTCTAATTAGTACTCATCCTCATCAAGCTTTATTAACTTGGTTATATGATTTCCCTCACAACCCTGGGCTAGAAACATTGCAAAAAGAAAGCAAAGACTTTCATCTTGTGCATAGTAGGTGTTTACCAATTATTTGGTAAATAAATAAATGATGGAATGAGTGAAAGAGTGAATAAATAATTCTTTTTCACACAAGAACCTAAGCCATTCCAATTTCTTTTCACCAATGTTTAATATCAAGTTAGAATTTGTGATGACTTATGCAATTAAAAATATGTATTTCTTCTACTGCAAGTCTATTGATTGTTTTCTTCATTTTGCTAACATATATTTTTGTCAAACTGGATTTAGCATTGATACTTGATAATGATACTACAGACAACCACTTAAAAACAGTGACATTATATCAGAGGTCCAAATAATTTATGTAATAATCAACTTTGCCTACTGGTATGGGTAAAGAAGAAGAAAAATAATTAATTGTTAAAATCATTCTACCTTCATTTGCCTTAGCTAGTATCCATCCCTGCAAAGCCTATAGTGTAAGAATCTCAACTTAAAGCACACAGAGTGTTTCTTAGATCGATCTATCTATCTATCCATCTATCTATCTATCAATCATCTACATACCTCTTTTCTATAATATATTATATATAATTTAGTCCCTCAACATAAGGATAAAAATGTGTTATTAATACACATACAAAAATTTCAATCAAAATAGTTAAAAATGTAAAATGTTTCAGAATAAATTTAATAAGAAAGCCAAGGAACTGTTTGAAGAAAGGTATAAAAACATATTAAAGGTCACAAAATATCTGAACAAATGGAAAAATTATTATGTGTTATTGATGGAAAGAATGAAAATTAAGAAAAATGTCAGTTTTCAGAAAATTAATATAGAAATCTAATCCAAGTTCAATTAGAATCTCAATAGATTTTTTTTTTTAATTGGATGGGGGATCTGAAAATCTGTATGGGAAAACAAATGCCAAAAGGTGACTAGAAAATTATTGAATAAAGAACAGTGAAAGGAAACTTCCTTTGACTGATTTTAGGTCACACTATATAATTGAATACATTAAGCCAAATATTATAAAATCAAATTGATATGGTATTTTAATAGGAATAATAGACAAATCATGGGAATGGAAGATATGTGTATGCAAACATACATATACATATATTCACATATACATTTGTATAAATAGAAGAATTGAATACATGATCAAAGTATCATTTTCATTAATATATATGTATTCTTAAAAATAATATGCTGGTAAAACTGACACTCCATTTGGAAGAAAATAAAAATATACTTCAATTTAAACCAGATTAAGACATTGAATTTTTAAAAATTTTTTAAATCTTGAAAATATGTAGGATACTATATATGTAATTTAGTTATAAAAAGATAGCTATTTGGCTATATAAAACTTAAAATATTTGTTTGAGAAAGAATATTATAAGCCAATCCACAGATCTGCAGCAGTAGTAGAAAAATATTTTCAGAACATATGTCAACAATGGTTAAATGTATATAATATAAACTACTTAATCCTTATTGATGAGAAAAAATGGCAGATACACACCAATGAAAAAAAAGCCAGAATATCTGAATAGGTTTGTCACTGAGAAACAAATTCTCATGTACAATAAACCATATCATAAGTAGTTCAAATTCATTAGGGGCCTGCGAATTTCTAATTTAAGTTACCAGAAATCTCAAAATATGCCTATAAAACTGACAGACAATAAAAGGAACCATCACATCTATTGCTGTTGGAATATGAGTAAAAGATGCATTGGTATGTTACTAGTGGAAACATGCAATGCCATAGAACAGGCAATATTTAGTATAATTAAAAATACATAGATGCTTTGATTCAGCTATGCTATCCTGGAATCCAACCCATAAACATAAAAGCCTCAGTACATAAAAGATATGTACAAGGATGCTTATTATAGCATTATTCAAAGGAAAAATAACTAAAAATCTTTCTAATATCCATAAATAAGAAAATAGTTGGAAAAATTATGGCAAATTCAAACCATGGAATATCAGAAAGAGACTAAATGTAATGAGTTTATTCTTTATCATTTGTCTTGGAGATACTTATATTAGGAACAATTTAGTGAAGACAGCGATATGCAAAAAAATGTGTATGCTTTCACAAAGCATATACATTTGTATATAAACATATAAACAAATATTTGTGCTTATATAATTTTATATGATTACAACATCAGATAATAAACATGGAAGGATATATCCTAGCAGTTTTAAATAAATTTTAAATACCTGATGCTAGCATGTTAAGCAGGTTTGAATGTTGGGGCAAAGACATGGAAACGACAGTCATCTGAAAAAAAAGAAAAGACAAATAAGGAGGCATTAAAAATAGGGCATATATGATATGATCACAGTTATGCAAGTATGTAAATTTATGCACATATTCATTAGCCATCAGAGAAATGCAAATCAAAACCACAATGATATCACTTCATACCCACTAGAATTGCCATACTCAAAAAAACTGACAACAACATGCATTGGCAAGGATATGGAGGTATTAGAACCCTTCTACACTGCTGATGTGAATGTAAAATACTGCAGCTGCCTTAGAAAACATTCTGGCAGTTCCCCAAATAAACATAGAGTCCATATGGTCCAGAAATTTTACTCTCTCATGTATATCCAAAAGAAATAAAAACATATCTATTCAAAACTATACACAAATGTTCACCGAGCATTATTTATAGCAGCCAAAAGTGGAAAAAAATAAATGTTGAAAGTATAAATACAATGTGGTATATCTGTATAATGGAATATTATTCAACCATAAAAATGAATGAAGTACTGATACATGCTATAATATGCATGGACCTTGAAAATTTTATGCTGAGTGAAATAATCCAGCCATGAAAGGTTCTATATTGTATTATTTCATTTATATGAAATGGCCAGATAGTCAAGTCTTTAGAGACAGAAAGTGAATTAGTGGTTGCCTAGGGCTGGGGTTGATGGGGTGATTGAGGATGATGGTTAAGTGGAACAGTGTTTCTTTTTGAGTAATGGACGCACAATTCTATGAATATACTAAAAGCCATTGAATTGTATACTTTATTTATTTTGTATTTCAGAATATTATTGGGATACAAATGTAAAGTTTACATGGATTGCTTTTGTATTGCTTAAGACAAAGTTATAAGAGTGCCCATCACCCAGAAAGTGTGCATTGTACCTGTTACATAGGATGTCACCCATTCCTCCCTCCCCCGTTCTACCTACTTGATTTCTCTTCAGTTTTACTTCCATCTGTGCACCTGAGTGCTGTTTGGTTAGTTTCAATTTAATGGTGAGTACCTGTGGCGTTTATTTTTTCCTTCTTGTGATACTTCACTAAGGAGAATGGTCTTCCAGTTCCATCCAGATTATTATAAAAGTTTGGTGTACACCTGCTAGAACAGGAGACATAATTCTCAATCCACAGCTAGGTGCTTACAGAACTCTTGGATATACATATATCTTTCCACCTTGCTGCCACCATTGGAGCAAAGTATATTCAGAGAGATCTAAGAATGTGTTTTAAGAGGCAAAGAGTATGGTACAGCTTATTTTTCAGTTATTCCCTCAATACGAGAAAGCTGTGGGACATTTTCCCACGTGCCTCCTGTGCTTGAACATAAAGATGTCATCCATTTCCATGGAGGTTTCAAAATGCAGTATCCCTATGGTATAAGTGCTAGCAAGGCTTTAAGACCTCTAGACTTAGTGTGCCTGGAAAGAAATAGGGACAATCCCTATACAATGTCTATTCTTTTTAGCCTTCTAAGGGTGTAGATGAAGACCTCAGGGTTGCTTCTAGCTTCATGAACTAGAACAATGACCCTGCCCAGGTGGCTGTTGGGCCAAGTGATAGAGTGGCCAACACAAGAAGGTGTTGACCTACCTTTGACAGGTGAAAGTAGTCATGGCTGGTCCTCTATAGGAATCTTCAAGAGTAAGGGGTAAGGGTACAGCTGAATATCCCTTCAAGGATACAAACTAAATGGAGACCACCACAAAAGCACAGTCCATCAGTATGAAATAGGAAGGCTCATGAATCAGCTTGAGACAAGGGATGGCTTCTTCCCAGCAATGTGACAGTCATGTAAGAGAAATTTTCCCTCCTCTCTCCCCTTGCTGTTTTGCTCCTTAGGGCAGAAAAGCTACAATAAGGAGAGGAAGAAGACACTCTACTGGGATATCTTGCTCCTACTCCACCTCTATGCAGTTGTCAGTCCCATAAATAAAGCTTGGATGGGGATTTGGCAGGGACCAAAATTGTGTCAAGTTCATGACTACAATTTGGGGGAATCAATGGGAATGAGACTTAATAGTCATTGAAAGTAGCAGGAAATTTATGGAACCTGAGGAAACTGTCTTTAAGTAACCTACAACCTGGTGAGAAATCTAGATTCCACAAAGTCTAGTAAAAAGCAGTGCCTGGGAAAAATAAAATTATGTCATGCTTATATCCTGAGGAGTTCTTCAATAAAATGGCTACATTATTATCACCCTCCTTCCCAATTGGCTCACTTCCATCTGCTTTTAAAGATGCCCACCAAAGTATATCTGTATCTCTCTGTTGCTAGATCCAAAGGACACCTTTCAACGATCACCTAGCTCGGACTCACCATAGTATATGATACACGTAAGAATACCATTAACTTAATTTATTTTATAATATTCTATATTTAAAGTAAATTACCTACATATTCCATAACAAAATACTTCAGCATGATTTCTCTCTCTCTCATACATACACACACACACACACACTCATATGAATGAGATAACTAAAAAGATATTATAACACTGTATAATTAGCAATAATTCATTAAGATTATCTAACAGTCTATAATCGAGTTTCTACAACTGACCCTCAAATATTTCCTATGATTAAGCTTTTCTTCTGAAAATATTCTCTTCTCTAAGCTTTCAAGGATCAAGTACTTCTTGGTATTTCTACTATCCATCTGCCCAGTTCTTCCCTGAGTCCTTTCAGGCCATTAAATATTAGATTTCCTCAAATACACTGCCCTGGAGCTTTTCTTCCCACTCTGATCTGTGGTCTGACCTGCATCTATGACTTTGATTACCTCTTATATTAGATAACACTCCAGTCTTTAGACCCAATATCCAGTCCATTGAAATATATTATATTTATCTCCCAAACAGCTTTTCCTTATAGACTTTTCTCATTTTTCTAGACACTGCATTAGTGGAAGCTATTTATCTTCTTGACCTCTGCTATACATGCCTTCTCATTGCCACATTGACAATTGCTTTTCCTTATTTTACTTTTTAATTTTCATATTTGATATTTCTAACTGATATTATTTTCACGTGGACAATGTTCACATATTTTTTCAAACACAGGGGAGGTGGTGGTTGAGAAGTATATCGTGGCCGAAAGCAATCTTTATGAAATTGAAATAGTAGATCATTCCCTTAACAACTTTATGCATCTTTCTATTTCTCTTATGATAATCTAAAATCCTTAACATGAACAACAACAAAAGAGACCTCATGTGATCTAACCTGTAAGTACCACTCCATCCATATTTAACAACATTTTCCTTCAATTTTTCTTCATTCTGCTCACAGTTATCCTTTTTAGTTCCTAAAACCACTGTTTTTCTGTTATTACCTCTACCTAGATGCTCACCAGTCCCCAGTCTCCACTGTCGTCTCCCACAGATATCAGGTATCATCTCAAATATCATGTCCTGAAGGAAGTCTCAGCAGATTTGTTTGTTACATCCTCTTAGGGAAGCATTATCACAGTTGATAAATAAATTTCTTAATGTGATTATGCACAGAAAGCTGTCTCATCCATTAGTCTGTGAAGAGCATTGAGGTCCAGGAAAGTGGCTGATTTAATATACGATTGTATCCTCAACCCTGGCACACAGCTCCTGTGTTATAGTGGTTCCTCAATAAATGCCTGTTGAATGGATAAAAGAAGAAGGAGAGGTAGATAAATGTTTGTTCACTTATCTGAAACTTAATATGATTTTGATCATGTAGAATTTTCGCCAAGGTTAATAATATTGAGTGAATACATGATATAAAAAATTAGGCTTTATTTAATAAATGTACCCTAACTTCAGAGAACACACATTTGCCTAATGGTTGTATAGTTTTAGCGGAAAAATGTTTCAAAACTAGACTATAAGGAAATCCTCAATAAATATTAATAAAATGAAATTTTATAAGTCATTTTCCTTATATATAACAATAAATCTACAGTGCAAACAAAATGAGGAGTGAACTAAAAGTGAAATCACCAGCAATATTTTTAACTAATAATTCTCAATTCAAAGATAAAATACAGAAAGAAAGATGGACTTTTTTATTATGATAGGTTCTAAAACTTAAGGAAATATGCCCAAAGCAATACAATGAGAAATATTAGTGCCTTTGGACTTCGTGCTAAAGCAGATGCTAAATGGAACCCAAAGTTTATGATTTTACCTTTTATACCTTGCAGAAAAATAGCTACCAAGAGGTTATTACTAAGTGAAAATGCCTTTGAATAATGAATGAGTGAATGATAATATAGAAAATTAAAACAGAAAAGAAAGATTATTGAAGCACAATTATAGCAACTAAGAAAATAAAGGGTCAATATCTTTAGCATGTAAATATTCCAAATCAATAAATAAGAGAATGCTAAGGCCAAAATAGTGAGGGAAAAATATACAGGAAAAAGGCAAGTTGCTACAAGGCAAGTATACCTAGCAGAGTGATATGAAAACAGGGGTTTTCAGACCTGGAGAATAATGGTAACCACTTATATCCAAATATCTTCATTTATTCTCCCAAAAGAGCATAAATTCAACAAGGAGTAAAAATACCATACATATTCCATGCCTTCAGAATTACTAGGAGGCAGAGATCACTCCAAAATGCAAATTATCTATGGTAGTGAAATACATTCTCAATTCCATCACAGCTCTCCTTTCAATTCACTGCAAGCCCAAGGGTGTGCATACCCAGGAGAGGGAGGTGTAAGAGGGGCCCTGAAAAAGAGAGGAGGGGAACAGGGATGATGGAGACAAAGCAGAGACAAACTCCCAGGAAGTTCAGCACTAGACACAAACATTTTCAAAGCAGGTGTAGGATGTGTAGTTCCTAATGCCAATTATAGGGAGAAACTGAAAATGACAGGGGTTGAGGTGGTGGCCTTGATGAAGCCCAGCTTCTGAGGTGGGACATGACAATGGAAGAAAAGAAGGAAGAAAGGGTGAAATTAAGGAAGCTGTAGAAATCAAAGCCAAGTAAGAACCTCCAAAATCTTTTGCCCTTCTCTAACCACTACTACCAACTTCACCCATTAAGGACATTGAATGTCACTATAGTGCAGATAAAGATATTCTCTCTAATATGTGCGTAGAAATAAAAAAAATGTTTTTAGAAAACGAACTTAATACAATACTACTGGAAGGAAAAAAATGGGAAATATAAATTGTAGTATTTTAACTGATAAAAATCAATACCCTTTGTTTCCCGAAAGAAATAAGAAAAAGAGCATAATAAAGTTGTAATAGCACATTCCAAAAATGAATAATATATTCTCCAACAGGCATATGGAGATAAACAAACTAGCAAGAAAATAAATAGAATGAAAAATGCAAAAACCGAGAACAGAAATGGACCCAAACAAAGATAAAACAGAAAAAATAGCAATGAGAGTTGTTTGAAGTCAGGAAATAAATTAAAGATAAAGACAAAATCATCTCAGATGAAGAGCAAATTAAAATTGACCAAGAATGATCAACTGTGACATATATCTTAGTAAAGTTATCAAATTTAATGGCAGAGATAATACCCTCAGGGACAATGAGTCAAAGTTCAAAATCCTTATGAGGGTAAAAAAATAAGCTCCACCCCTGCCGTCTCTGTTTTCTGCTTCTATTGGTTCTACTAGTTTCCACATTCAGTTGAGAAACTGGTCCTTTTTTGGGAATCTGAGCTGAAAAGACTATGACACTTACCATGCTAAATGAAACAATAAGGAAGGGTTTAAGATGGAAAAAATGATCACATTAATTTGCAGGTATCAGGACAAAATAATTATTTGGTGCCATTTAATACCAAGAGGCGTGCACCACTTTGTAAACTAATGAAAGCCTATTGTGAATGACAGTTTGCCAATGAGACAAATCAGGTTCAGATTTGATGGGCAGCAAATCAATGAAACAGACACATAACCACAGTTGGAAATGGAGGATAGAGAAAAATTGGTATGTTATAGTATCAGACAGTATTGGATACCAAAAAAACAAGCAAACAAAAAAACAATGGATCTGATATTTTACAATTCTGTTCCTTCACACAAGATACATCCTCAACTAACAAACAATTTGAGGTACACTAAAAGCTCAGGCATCCTAGGTTTTTAATGGTAGCATTAATATTGGCCACCACCCCAGCCCCTTCCCTCACACATGCTCACACACAGACACACACACACACACACACACATTTAATGAAATGGGACCTTGTTTTTGATCTATATATACACAATGTTAGCTACAGGGGGATTTCGAAAGATTTCATCTTCCTTCCTCATTAAAATATCAGGAACTCTTTATGGGTGTTACTCCAAACATCAAGTACGGAAGCACAAATTTTACACATGGTAATTAGAGAAATGAGTTGAAAAGTGCACAGATGCTCATATAGTGGACCCCTGATATGCCAGAATTTTGCCAGGATCCATTTATTTCCTGGTTTCATATGTGTCCACCCTAACCAGAGGCCAGTGCTTCTGATCTGCATCTCCTTTACCAATGTCAACTTAGGTCCTGTGACCCCATGGTTCACAGATGATCTAGGTGTTTCCTTTTCTCAATGTACAGAAATAGACATAAATGGCTACAGTTTCCTTTGAGTAAGGCCTGGGGAAACCATTCCAGTTATATGCTCACTGAGATGTGATAGGCTTCTCCTACCTGCAGACCTGGCTACCTCTTCAGTTCATGGGTTCCTGATTTGAAAATTGGCTAAGTTTCTCAAATGGAGCAAAGGATAGGGCTGGCTACCTAACTTGTGAGGTCCAATGCAAATGAAAATGTGGAGCCCTTTGTTGAAAAATCAGGAGAGAGTGCTGTTGAAAATAGGGCTATCCTAATACATGAAGCTTTTTCCTTCCTTCTATTATTCATCATGGCAGTTTTATTTGCTAATGTTTTTCAAGTCAAAAATTACTTTTAAATAATTTTTAAAAAATTAGACATAGAAGAGATAAAATATGGAGACCTACCTGAAATGGCAAAATTAGTTGAGTTTCTCAATTTTCTTCTGAAATTAAATAGTATGCTATTTAATAAAACTGATACAGGCTATCTTTACTAAGTTATCTGAAATCATTGTAAGATATTACTAAAATGGGCTTTTCCCCAGAATTTTACTTCAATTTGTGAAGAAGTAAGTAGTAATGTTGAAGATCTCAGTGAAGGCTTCAATCTAAAAGAATTATTGAGGAGTTACAAAATAAATAGGAAAGTGATACAACTCATGTGTCATTAGTGGAAGTAGTATCTAGGGGGAATTAGAATTTTGAAGAGAACAGCTATTATAGTACAATATATGCATTTGGGTGTCTTCTTTTCATCTACATGCTAACTTTGCAGAAAAAAAATAATATTTGTTTTCAGCAATATATGCACATATTTTATCATCTTATTCAAACTTATAAAAGGTTATTTTCAATCCTTGTAACTCAATATTACTACATTTTTTGCTAATACTCCATTGGAAAAAATGATAATAAAACCAGTTTTTCTTTATAATAGTGCTTGTCTGAGTTATAACTGTATTGTGTTATATTTTATGTTGATTTTCTTCAAGCAATAATTATAAGTAATTCTGTAAAATAAAAAATTTAAGATAATTATAAATTTTTGCATGGATATTAGAATGTATACGTATATTGTACAATGCCGTTTTTAATTTCACAAATGAGAGAATTTCATTGATAGAAGAAATCACTGAAATTACATGATTCATATTTTATAACTCTTATCACAACAGTGGAAACAACGTACAAATCAAACTCAACTCTTTGTATTTTACAATACATGCACGATTTACCAACACTCTATGGACACTAGCAGCTTCCATAAAACGCTTATTTTATACTCACTTTGAGTCTCCCACACATTGTGCGTGCACTGGAATTTTATGCTCAGTTGATGTTTCTGCAAAATCCCAGGACAGTATAGAAAAACCTCCCCCCAAACTGAAGTTTCCTCAGATGCCATGGAGCACTACTCAGCCACAAAAAACAATCGTGATCTAGCACTTCTTGTGTTATCCTGGATAGAGCTGGAGCATCTTGTGATGCTTCTAAGTGAAGCATCACAAGAATGGAAAAACAAACACCACATGTATTCACCATCAAAGTGGTATTAACTGATCAACACTATGTGCATATATAGTAGTAACATTCATCAGGTATTGGGCAGGTGGGAGAGGGAGGAGGGGATAGGTATATTCACACCTAATGGGTACGATGCACACCGTCTGGGGGTTGGACATGCTTGAATCTCTGACTCGGGTGTGGCAAATGCAATATATGTAACCTAAACATTTTTATTCCTATAATATGCTGAAATAATAATAATAATAACTGAGAGGATGTCAGAGACCAAAGAAACGACTCAGATCATTCAGCTTGTCAAGTTAGGTAAGTTTATTAGAGGTTACATACACATGGTTCTCATTTCTAGCCAAAGTGGGAATCCTTCGGTGGGTACTCACTCCTGGGCAGTGGCAGGAGATCTTCAAGAGTAAGATCCACATTGCCTGCTTGTTTGTGAAGCCTTACATTTCTTTCTGACAAGTGATGCAGAGCTCTCCCTGCATCACTGTATATTTACATACAATGCAGGTTAAGCATGCACAGTACTTCCCATTAGGCAGGGACTTTAGTATTAC